ACATAAAACGTATGTTCAAACCCACAATTCGCGGTACACTTCACGTTAACCTAACATTTTTAGTGTAAAAAATAATTCTGTAAATGCAATTTTTTGATGAGAAAAATAAATTAATAAATGTTGCTCTGCGGTGTTATATTGCTAAAATATGCATGAAGAGGGAATGAATTCAACGTACAGCGTGCATACAAATAATATATTTTAACTCATTTTGTACTTTGGTTGAAAATTAAATTAGCCTGTAAAAGAAGTTTACGGAAAGAACAAAACAATTTTCTTGGGCGTTTAAAAGAAAATGATTGTGGAAACTTTAATTTCTAAATTGCCTCGAACCCTAGTTATACCTATTCAATATTCCAGAATGAGGCTTTAAGAGAGAAAATCATATATATATATATATATATATATATATATATATATATATATATATATACACCATCAAACGTATTTTTTTCCCCAATTTATTTTTAGTTTAAAGAAAATTAGGAATACATTCATTGCAAATTTTATTGCCAACCGAAATTTGAACAGTCTACAAAAATTATTACATTAGGCGTGTCCTTATTATTCAAGATAAAGAAATCCAAAGGTGGGAAAATCTTGTCTACTTTAAAGTCAAAAACAAGTTCTAAATCTTGGAAGATTTGCCACAAGTCTAGTAAAATGAATTTTAAGCTCAAATGGTTCGCAATATTGCAGTTTTTTATTCTTGTTCGAAAAGGGAGAAGTTGTTCATAGGAAAAAGGATAGAATTATGTGGGGGTTCATTTTTCGCAGATATGGGTTAGAGATGGTTGAGCAGAGGGTAAAGTGTACTCGAGAGCAACATGATGCAGACATTGGTCAGTGGTTTATGAGAGATGGCTATTGAGCGTTGATTCTGGGAAAGGAAGCCCCTTTTCTGTTAGTACTCTGTTTCCTAGAATTCCGTACTACAAGTACTACTACTACTTTTGCTACTACATAAATAAATTGAATTGAATTGAATTGAATTGAATTATGCCTTATTTTACGTGGCGAGGTAAATAGGTTTATTAACAGCGGATAACATCTGGAGGTGCATAAATATACTTTTTAACTTATCATTAACTTTTCAAATTTGTACATTTCTGTAGAAAATGGTATAATAAATTAAAATCTGATGCATGTTTGCTTATATAGTTGTTTGTGATATTTTTGCTTTTATCCTCTTTAAAGCGAAAATACCCTTAAAATTATATTACTTTAGCTAAGGACCATCTTTGAGTTTTGGAAAAAATGTAGATGAAACTTGCTTATTGGTGCTCATTGAAACCATGTTTCCTTTCTCCTTGCGTGAACAAATACGAGTAAATGAATATAAAGACAAAGACAAGTTGCGTCTCTTAAGGAGACCGTGAAATAAATCACTAAAAACTAATAGATAGTAATATAGAATCAAAATATTTTAATTATTCTGTTTTGGACAGTGTGACCATTCTACAGTACGAATGCAATGGACATTATTCGTATTTTCCTGTAATATGAACTAATGATTTCAATCTTTCTGCCCATGATTATTGATTGAACTGGCTCCACCTATGTGTTGTGTTACAAATTTCTGCTCCGCATTTATCACAAACAATGTTTCGAACGCATTCCTATTCATTTACAAGGCTTATGGGCGTCGATTTAACGGAACACAAGGCAGCAGAGTATTGCAAGAACATCACACGTGATAAATATCTTGCGGAGTACACACATGTTCTACGGTTACAGTACAGACGTTTGCATGAAATAAAGTTAAGATAAATTACCTTTTAGGACAATATAATATACTTTACATTGGAAATATCAACTAGTTTAAATTAGTTTTGGAATACGCTACAATTTCTATTCTATTCGCTAATCATTCCAGCTACTATTCCAGGCATGATTATATTTTTCATATTCGTAAATTACTTTGTATAGGACGTTTGAACTTTATCAACTAAATATCATTCCAATTAAAGAAAATGATTGTAATTGTAAATAATTCTTACGAGATATTCGAATATGAATTTAAAATAGATATGTTTATTTGATTTTAAAAGTAGTTGAGTTGGCGTCTTCAGACAAACGTGCAAACACAACATGATATGTATAGTTATAAATCTTACAATGATAAACATTGTATCATCGTTTAATGATGGGCCTTGTTTCATTTGCTTGTAGAACATATATACAATTTTGTAATTTTCATTTGGATTTCATGTATATACTCGATTCTTGAACACTCTGACAACGGCAAAGAATTTGCTCTGTGTGAATCCATGCGAGGAGTTTCAAATAATAGTTAGCCCTTACAATGTTTTCAGCCCGTGATTGTTGCGTGAATGGAGATGGGACTGACACGTATGCCTATCATTATATTATTCAGATAATTAATTGTTCGTAAATTTGAAAATGATCAAGAATGTATTTACGAAAATGTGAACATTTATGACTGTCATTCAGAGATATATTATTTGAAAGTTCTGTATTGAAGACAATGTAGTTAGGCGAATCTCTCCCCTACTCTCCAGTATTTAATTTGCGTTATTGACCGCATATTTTCCACCACAGCCGCAGACGCGAAAGTTGGACGATTGAATGCAAAAAAGGAGCGAGGTGGTGTGATGCGAGAATTAGTGTTGGGAAACCTGGAAAATGATTTTGAACCTCCTACGTGTATTGTCCCTAGTTTAAATAAAACGCATTTTCCGAGTAATTGTTCTGGCAGAAATGTTCATTTTCCTTATGCATGGAATATAACCAGAGAACAATGCCACAATTTATTCTCACTCGAGAAGTTATGTATAAGAACCACAGAATGCGACGATTTGCAACGCGGCGTACTTTACTTGAGAGGGGCTGAAAACAGTAGCACAAGGCTCGCGACGTATGGCAGCGCTCCCGGCTCAGAAAAGATTTCTTAAGGTCTCATCGTTTCATAAGATGACAATGCGATATCACCCATGCACCGCGCTTTTCTGCATTTAATACGAATTTGAAAAATTGAACGCGGGTTTGGATCTCTGGAATCAGGAGACTGAAAAAAAGCGATCCGGGGGCGGAGGAGAGAGGTGGGAAACTGAATTAGAATGTAAATGACGGGAAACTGGAGGCGGAGAGTGAGGCGTTGGGGCGTGCAGCTGGGATCGAGGAGCTGGGGGCGGGACGGTGAGAATGGGTGAGGTGCTTGAGACGAAGAGTTGGATGCGCGGAACCTCCACTTGGGAGCTAGGGGTAAGACGGGGCATGCAGCTGGAGATAAGGAGCAGGAGGTAAGGAGCGAAGATAATGATCTGGAGGTAGGGATGAGGTGTTATGGAACTTGGACTAGGGAGCTGGGAACGAAGCTGGGGGCATTGAGCTGGAGATTGGGAGATGGGGTAGAGAAATGTGAGGTACGGATCTGGGGTTGGGAAAATGAGCTCAGGCAGCTGGGGGCAGGGATCTGGGGACGGGGTACTGGGGTCGCGAACTGGAGGTGGGAAACTAAAGGCCGTGAACTAGCGGTGAGGAACTGTAGGGGACGGGGTACTGAAGGTGGGGGACTAGAGGCGACTAATTGGGAGCGCGGAACTGGGGGCGGCGAAATGGGGATGAAGTGCTGGGGTTGGGCATCTGGATGTAGGGAGATGCGAGGAGTTGGCAATGGGAAGCTGGGACGAGGATTGGGGGTAAGAAGCTAGATGAAGGGAAATGGGTTCGGAGTGCAGGATGACGGGTACGGGACGCGCTATTAGGGATATAGGAACTCGCCAGGAGACGGAGGTGAATAAGAGCTGGGAGAGGCGGGGACTCGCGGGGTTTGAGGGGGGTGAAAGAGGACGGGAGGCGCGCTTTCATACCCGTCGTTTTATCCCCGCCACCCGTCTCGCTTTCCCTCTCTCTCTCTCTCTCTTGCTCTCTTGTGCGCCTGCCGTATCTCGCCCACCCGCCCGCTGGCTGGCGGACGCGCCGCGCTGCGTCCCAGTTCCGCCTGCTCTTTCCCGGGCGCGTTCTGCTGATTGCCTTCTTTCCGCGAGAGCTGCCGCCGCCGCCGCCGCCGCCGCTGGCGCCCTGTGCCCAGGAGGGGCCAACCCGTGCGGCGCAGGCCGTGCGCGGCTCGCATCAGCTTTTTTTCTTAATTTTTCTCTCTTTTCTTTCTTTCGCTTTTCATTTTTCTATCTTTCTTTTTTCTTTTTTTCTTTTCTTTTCTTTTTTCTTTGTTTCTTTCTTTCTTTTTCCTTTTTTTCTTTTTTCTTGTTCCCTTTTTTCTTTTTTTCATTCTTTTTCTTTTTTTTTCTTTTTTTTCTTCACAGTCTTTCGTTGTGTTTGAAACGAGCTTTTATGAATACTAACATCGTCTTTTTAAAACTTTCAGATTTCATCGGATGCAACATAGGGAATGCGGATTACATGCGTCCTCAAACTTTCTGGTTTTACTGTACTGTTAGCTGCGAATGATGTACTACGTACTAACATGTAAGTATTGAAGTACATCTATTTTTATTCGCTTTCTACCTATTTCCCTATACCTTATTACCCTTTTCACCTACAAGGCGATAATACATTCAGCATTTATTGGCTTGTTTTGTACAAACACGTGTAATTTCGTCGAAGTACAGTTACTAGGAACAATCACAAGATAACAGGGATCGTAGAACTTTATTTTACTATCAATTTATATGTGATTTTTAAAAAGAACTTCGTTTATACATGAAAGATAAAGCATTAATGAAAAAATAATGGGAGTAATCTAATGGAGATGATTTTGATAAATCGGGTTGCTTCTGTTGCGTTGCGAAGAATTTTGAAATACATGTCTTTACTTACAAATGTGGCAAGGAGCTTGATAAATTTTTTAATTTGCCTGTTTGACTTTCATCCTCTGGTGATCTCGTAATGTCCGTCAGGAATGAATATAATAGCCCGATAATTTTCACTGAACCTAATCGAAGAGTTATTGAACGAAATGAAAGGGTCTCTTAAAAAAATGTAGAATTTCGCAAGGTAAATAATCTTAGCAAACAGTTTTATGAAATTGTACCTTCCATTCTTTCTCCGCTTTTCTCGTGGTAAAATATGTTCTTGAATAGTTCAAAAATGTCTTCGCGTTGTTGAAGTTGTCTTCTTTTTAGTATCTGCATTGTAATATTATTAATTATACAACGGGAATCATACTACATTTTCACTAAAACAGTTCCAACTAATATTTGTCATTGTCACATTTAGTTTAATATGTCTGTTTTAGAACACGCATCACTCTACGAATTAAAAATTGATTATGCCTAGGAATGAGATGGTTTCAATAGTCGAAGTAGTGATATATTCTTCAATAATTTTCATGTTACCACTGTCATTTCCGTACTCTTTAAGAAAGCATGGTGTGTATCATACGGCCTTACTTCCATTAGGTCATATATTATTATTATTATTATTATTATTATTATTATTATTATTATAACTCCTCTAATTATCGACTAAAGATGTTACGAATCGGTTGATTACAAATTCTGCTCCAGGATACAACTAGCTTCCTGAGGAGCAGCTTTAAGGACTGTCGGTGTCTCTCAACTACTTTGTGCCAAATGTGGAATGTTTCCAATAAGGCAGTCTTCTACTTCCCAGTCTTCTTGAATGATTTGGGAGTTTAGCCAAGTTTTTACACAAATTTTGTGGAACAAATACCAGATCCCCGTTAACTATCGGAATGATCTGTGTTTTTACTTACCACATTCGGCTGATTTCGATATCCAAACTCTTGTATTTAAGATTTTCTCTGCCTCTTTGGTTACGACGTTTTTATTGCATGGCACATCAGAATCTATAGATAGATAGGTTTTTTCTACAGATACCGGATAACAATATCCGGTTTGTATGCTGCTATCGTGCGATCAGTTTGAATTTGTTGGTCGAGCAATATTTACACAACCCAACAGATGTGTTTAGAACTTCGTAGGCTTTACAGATCTACCAGTGAAGGTAAGTACACACTTTATTGGGTTTTCATGTATTTAGTCTTTGCTAGAATTGGACATGCTGAGACTATACGATCAATGATCTCAACTTGTTCCTGGGAAATTTTGAGAACCGTTCTTATCAATATGTATTTTCAACGCTTGCTCGTCGGCTGCTCTTACAACTACTTCCGATTGTGACATAGTTCTCCTTTTAAGCCACAAAAATGATTTATATTGATTGTTCAATACGTTTTTTAGATATTGTCTAGAGAGCTCTTCGTGTCTCCTTGATTCATTTTTTGTTGGGTCATATTTGTTTCGTCGTGTCATGTTTTGTTTTTGATTCACATTTAATGTTAAGTAGCATCAAAACTTCAGTGTCTGTGTACTTCTTCGTTCTTCTTCTTTCTTTTCTTCTTCTTCTTCTTCTTCTTCTTCTTATTATTATTATTATTATTATTATCATTATTATTATTATTATTAATATTATTATTATTATTATTATTACGAAATGATATAATATTTGCCTTTCTTATGAGCTTCTCTACAGCAAGAATTGCAGATAGTTTTTCTAACAACCTTCAAGCGCTATTCATGGCAACTGCCTGACATGAAACCAAACATCCTTGAGCAGTAAAAGCTTGGCTCCGGGAGTGGACACTCCTGCTCTAGGACGGTCTCCGCGTCTTCTTCCTTTTTCGCCCTCGGAGCCTCTTTCCGAGCGGACGTGCCGGGGGCGAGCCGGCGGGCGAGATTCGCGGATGGGCCGCTGTAATACGGGAGAGTCCGCCCTAACTAGCCAGTTACTACGCAACTGTTGTCTCCGATAGTGTGACAAGCTGCGCGTTGCAAGTGAATGGTGGAGCAAAAGCCCTGCCTTTCATTACGGCGAGATTATAGTGGAACGATCTCCCGTTGGAGTTCTGTGTTCAAAACATCACGGGCGTTGGAAATTTGAAATTATGATTCGATGTTCGTGTGCAAAGCCACAAACTATATTCATGATCACATTATCATAAAAAAGATTGTTTCAAACTTGTAGAAGTTGTGCAAGTTAGCTTTATTATTCACCCTTGCATTGATACTTATTTAAAAACGGACATGTTGACGGGCCTGTATCTGAACGGAGAGTAAAGTTACAAGCATTGATTCGGTTGTTCTTCATTGGCTAATATTTTAATGACGTAAATAAAATGTCTTCAGTTTTTACGGAAAACAAATATCCATACGGAAAAGTTTGACCTGTTACTACTTTGTTTTTCACATACTACGAGCTTAATTCGCGTCATTAATTGAATTACTCAAATAAAGCCAGTTGTGCAGATAACCAGTTGTCTCGTATCACATTTTCACAGCGCCCTGTTTGTTCTTTTAAAACCAACCCAGGCGCTCCTCTGATTGCTGTTAACGCCGACAGGTGCGCGGTGGTTTTAATAACTAGCGTTTTTCCATTCTGAGGATTAAAGCATTTAATTTCCATTTCGTGATAATCTAATTCAGTATTTGCTTTAGAACGCGGTTAATAATCACCGGAATGGATGTACAAAGGCGTATTGTGAAACAAAGCTCGCTTTAATGGCTGTGTTATTTTGTTACACAGAGTTTCATTAAATTGCAAACGGGTTGGCAGAGCTCCCGTGGCCCTAGAGATCTGGTGTGAGGGTGGATGCGGTGACGGGAGTGGAGAAAGACCCACCCTAGGGTTTTGTCCGAACGGCATTTACAATGTAATTGTCCCCAATTGATTTTAATATTATAAAGTCCTTTTTATAATCTTCAAAAATACTTTAATACCTTGGGAGGGCGTCACTACAATAATTTCAGTTCAGTATTAATCGATTTTCTTCACAATGAACTCAATTTAAAATTCTGTAACATTTTTAATTTAACTACTGGGTTCATAGTGGGAAATAAGTGTTTTTCTTCCTTCTAGAGAATTAATACATGATTGATTTGCAAATATTTCACTTGTCACTGTAGGTTAATTCCTTCACTTCGCAATTTTAATTATTCATTGACTCAGAAGCTGAAATACTGGCATATTTAGTATTTTTTACAATGAGTATTACAGAATTATAACATTAACACTAACTGTTAACTAATATCATAACATATATCACTGTTAAAATAAAAAAAAAATGTGATCGGCATGGTCTCAAATTGTAAAGACAAAGTTATGCAGCAGAAAATATTTTATTTGCCTCTTTATCTTGTCTAGTTTAATTGTTTAATCTCGTCTGGCAATATGTTGTAAAGTTTCGTAATACATGCATTATATATGGACTTTTTTGTAGTGAGCTGTTGAAACTGGCCGCGTTGAATATGATTCATAGGACGTATCATAATTACAAATATTTATATTTCATGAAAATATGATGCCATCCTCAACAAACACTGCCGAAAATAATTTTTACAAAAATACAGATTTATAAATAAATTGGCATAAGCAATGTTAAAGTTCCAAACTAAAAGAAGAGAAACTTGCAGGAATCATGTGAATTGCGTTTGCTTGTTATGTATTATGTTATTCTTCACATTTTTTCTGCAATTGAAAAGTTTGGGTATTATAGGACGAGCTTCAGGTTACTAGAGAATATCCATCTCGGTTCCAGAACTCGGCCGCTCAGGTAAAAATAATTCCACTGTTTGATACAAATTAAACGTGGTAGAATTTGTATTTTTAAAGCAAGAATGTTTTGGAGACGAGTTGAAGAGAAAAAGAAACTTTATTGTGTAATTTTTAAAATTCTACCGAACAAAATCAGTTACAGATTTTGCGTGTTTTTCTAAGTAAATATTTATTATTTCAGCTTCATGCATTAATACTTATTATGGCCAATAAAACTAATGTGATATTTACAGGGATATTAATTCAATGCTGTAAAATCGTTGCCTCTACTAAGTCACTTCCCGTAAACGATTAAAGCTTGAAGACCTTGTAATGAACATCATAAGCATAGGAACGCCGTTCGTTCCCACTTGAAGTGAATTTAAAACCACGTCACGTGTTGGAGTCAAACGGTCTCGCAAATATGCGGCCATTTTGAAATTTTCCGCCGTTCCCGTCGCCCCTTGCACTCCCCCGTTGCCATTCCCCGTTGCGCTGTTCGGTCACAACGGCCTTTCGCTCTCTCCGTCCTTCCACTCACCCCTCTTCTCACCTCCCTTCCTTTACGTCTTTTACAACGCGAGATTGAGTCGGAGAAGCAAACTCTACGCCTTTGCTCTCGCTCCCTCTCGCTGACGCCATCCCTCCCCCCCCCGCCCCATGCCGCCGCCTCTCCCCAGGGTAAATCAATATAGACATTGGAATCGCGCTGCACGGCGCCACGGCGGCGGCTGCAGGTCCTGCACGCGCACGCACGCACACGCATGCACACGCAGGCACACACCAGCACACGCACGGACACGCGATCACGCTCGCATGGACGCACGCCGTAGGAAAGCAAATGCGGTTGCGGTGGTGACTGAGCGATATTCGTTTCGGTAACGAATTCTCATTACATTTCATTTGTTCCTTCCGATAGGCGGTAACATATTTTGACAGTTCGTAGTAAAAGTAGTTACTTGTAGAGCATGCGAAATGTGACATAAGTTCAAGTTTTAGCACTAGTACTAAAAGAAAGATGATGCTCAAATATTCAGATAGAATTGTGAATGCAAAATAGAAAACAAAACTATTTCGTCTGATCAGCTACTATTGGCCTTAAAGTAACGTAGTGATGTGTATGCTTGAATTAAAATAAAATGAAAATCATTACGGCCATCTAAAAACAGCGTATGTCATACGTGTTAAACGTGATTTTATTTTTCTAGTATCGATCTATCGGTTACTGTGTTGTGGACCTTGTGTCGCAAACTTCCCTACTCGCAAAAATAATGCTGCTTTTACCGCTCTTATCATACATACTAGCTGTTAAGGTGTCGGAGTTGCCCTAGTCAGTTTTTTTAATATTTTAATTACTTTCTTGAATGAGAATTAAATTCTTCAGAAAATAAGGAAATGGAATTGCAACTAAAGTCGCAAACAAACGATCCTTGTTCCAAACGTCAGTACATTTGCTGTCTATTAAATACGTAAGTATTTTTTTCATTTAACTCTATTGTCTGGAAAATTATTAGCACCAGCGTTGAACATTGTTAATTTTTTGTTCTCTAATTATATAAAATATTTCAGTATT